ATAGTTGTCTATTACACTACATCGCTTAAAATCCCTTACTTATCGTGAAGGTTGTACTAGTGTTCATTCTAAGGAGAATTCATGAATTGAGTCTTAATTATTTATAGTCGATGCTCGGAAGTGGGTTTTAAAAACACAAGAGAAATCTGATTCTCGCCTTTGAAATCAAATGTAAAATGGTCTAGCAATATCGGAGTAAAATGGAGAGTTTGAAACCCTCAATTTCCTTTAAGTTCGGAAATTTCAGATTCGGCAAGTAAACTTTGAAAAATCAGATCTCACTCACTATGAGTCCAAAATTGTAAAACTTGGTACCATTAGAAACTAATTCCAAAGTACTAAAAGTTTCTAGAAGACACTTTTCCATGATTCCAAGCGGAAGGTATTCAAAATTTGTCTCAAAGTTGCTGTTTTGGCTTGCGAGACAGTTTCGGGGTTGGTTTTTCGCCAACTTGGAAAATTCGGCAAAATTCACAAAATTGGAACTAGCCTCTCAAATTTGAGACTCAACTAGAGTTGCAATCAAAGTTTAAAATGGAAGGAGCGGAACGAGAATTGAAGTTTTGAGCACCATGATATGGTAGCTCAAAGTTACTCAAATTTCTTTGTTAAACAAGGGTTTTCCAAAATTAAGTCATGAACTTTGGAAGTTTAGTTGAGCAGCGAAACGGACTCGGAATGGCACCAAAATTAGCAGTACAATACTACCCTATAAGAATATTTCTCTGCCAAATTCCATGGATAAATATGCACAGAAAGCTGGTTAACCAAATCACCAAAATTCCAAAATTTCCAAGGCAAATCTGCCTTGCGAGTTTCGTTTTCCGTTTTCAAAACGTTTGGCTTACAAAATACCTCAAACATGGTCCGTTTGCATAGACAATGTCTAAGAGGTATCCAAAACACAATTTTGGGTGATTAACACCAAGAATCTCAAATTAACAAGTTTCAATCGAGTTTAGTAACAATTCTGCCCAAAAGGAGAGTTTTCCTTCAAGAAGTCAGTTTCGAAATACGGCCACAAATCACTCAATTCAACTCGGAATTGGATGTGATTGGTGGCATTGGAAACAAATTTCATAAATCTACAATTTCTCAAAAGAAACCATTTTCAAAATACATCCGCAACTAGCTCACATTCGAGCATCAAGTTGTAATTCATGTTCTGCCCTGTAGTGAACCAATGAAACGGGATAGCAAACTTCAAGCGAATGGTTTGCCTCACACAAATGGAACCAGGATGTGAATTTTATACCAATAGAAAGCTGGGAATGTCTAATTTCCATTGCCACAAACGGCACTCGATTTCGACATCGGAGCAACAAGTTATGGCTGAAGAAAAAAGACTACCTGGGCAATCCGGGAAAATTTTCCAGTTTTGCTAAACCTTAGAAATCACTACATTTGACCAACCAAATCATGTTATTTTCAATGAAACTTTCTACACCATCCATATAACATGTATACATCATAATTAAGTCATTAGAACCTCTGAAATTTGCACAAAAGTACACGAACATGGCAGGGGCAGATTCGGAAGATTTTTGCTCTTCACCTCCTTTGAGTTTCCTTTCAACAATACAACTTATTTCCACTAATTTAAGCACTAAACCAACATTAACAACATCAAAACTCATGAAATCAGTCCATCAAAACATTGTGGGAGTTCATAGAGCCCATACACTAAGATCCAACATAAATAAAGCTACCTATGTGAATGTACAAGCTTATAAGTGCAATACTACTTCCATAAATCAAGATTTGAAGGGTTGATCGTCCATTACCTCTCTTGAGGAACTAAACAGAAATTTTCGGTCCTTATGAGCCAAAGAAAAATCGTGAGAGCAGCCTCCTATCCTAGCTTGAAGTGCTCTCCAAGTATTTAGCAAGGCGTGGTTAAAATTTGAGGTGATTTGGTGGAGGATTAGTGAAGATTTGATGGAGGAAAATTGAAGAACTTGCTGTTCTTCCTTTTGAAGTAATGCACGGCTGTTTAGATGAAAAAGAAAGAGTTGCACGGCTGTTTGAGGTGATAAAGTGGAGAGTTTTGATCTGGTGTGATGCTCCCATTAGAAGCCTAAGAATGTGTGGCCCAAAATGCTCCAAAAGTCAACTAAGGAGAGTGCGCGTACGCGCGCTCGTTTCCCCTCGAATTTGTTTCACTTGTGCACTAAATCTCTAATGAACTTCTATCCATACTATTATTATTCATTCTTAATAGTTTAGAAATAAAGGTTTTAAGTCTCTCAATTAAACCGCGCGTGTGAAAACGCGTATTTCCAATTTATGCACGATAAAGTAGAATTTTCAAGAAATTCTTATAACGATTGTACTACTAACTAATACTTGAGTACTTAAACATAAAAATACCTATTTTAAAACTAATGTATAAGTTTCCAATTTTCTGAGCTTATTGTATCCTCAAATCGATCACTGTCTCCAAATGCGTATTCAATATTTTCACTAAACGAGCTTCCAAAAATTAATTTTCGTAACAAGTTATTTTAAAAATACATGTAAGTCATAGTTCCATGTAATTGGGTTTAAAAAGTTTAGAAAATAATATTCGGGGTAAACAGGTAATTAAATATTTAAATAAACTCGTAACAGGAGTTTAAAATAAATACATTTTTACGAGTTCTCACGACCTTTCTTAATCTACTATTGATCATTATTAATTTTCCAAAATTAATACACTCTCAATTCAAATATAGTCTTGAAAAATGTGTACTCGTTGTTCCGAACTAAACGAGTTTTCGAAAAGTAACTTTTCTAACAAAACGCTTTAAAAATATAAGAAAGGCATTTTTCCATATAAATGAATTTTAAATAGTCGAATTAAAAAATTAATTAAGCCAGTAAAATAAAATAAAATAAGGAAATTTTTAGGTCCTCACAACCTCCCCTCCTTAAAAGAATTTCGTTTTCGAAATTCATACCTTCTGTAATCTCAGATAACCCTGAACTTTGTTGTGTGATCATGTCATATGTTCTTGCAGATGCCATTGGTCAGTTTTCTCTTCGATTGACTTGTTGAAGGTTAGTTCTATTTCCTTGTTTAGTGGTAGTCTCTTAGGGATACCTGCTTGGACAGTCGTGAACTTTATGGTTGGTACTCCCACATCCCATACACTTTCGTCCCTTTAGCCAACAGTTTTTTTCGGTATGGTTTGTCCTTCCATAATATCCACAGGTCAGACGAGACATTGTGACTTGACTTGCTTGTGAGGTTTCCTTTGATCATATCTGTCCGACTTGAGTTCCTCGTGACATAGTTCCTTTTGGTTCCTTTATCATGAGTGGTGCAAGGAGTGATAGTCTTACCCCATCCTCTCCTTTTCTAACTTTGGATGGTGGTCCAATTTTTCTGGGTCTATTATCAGATGTATCTCTTTTCTTCGCTTGAAAGGCTCTCAGTTGGGCTTTTGCGCTCTCTACCCTTTGCGATTTCTCGAAAGTATTACTAAATGTGTTCAATCTGTGCTGCGGCAAAGGCATCTTGGTTTTCTAAATCTAATCCCTAAATAAACCGTCTTATTCTCTTCCGTTCAATAGCCACCAATTCTGGAGCATATGTAGATAATTTCGTGAAGTGTGTTTTGTACTCAGCCACACTTAAAGTTCCTTGTCGAAGTTTTATAAAATCGTCTTCTCTCTTTTCTTGGACAAGCGGTGGGAGAAATTTCTCATTAAACTCACGCACAAAGTTTATCCAAATTCTTGGAGTTTGATCTCTTTCCCACTTATTTCTTATAATATTCCACCAAAATCGGACCGCTCCTTCAAGTTGAAATACAGCAAAGGTGACTTGTCTTTTCTCTGTGTAATCTAAGGCATCGAATATATTTCTTATATTCTCTAACTAATTTTCAGCCATTTCTGGGTCAGGTCCTCCAGAAAATTTGGGCGGGAAGAATTTCTGAAACCGCTCTAAAACTCGATCCTCCCCTATCTCTTGGTTTCCACGTTGGTTTCCTTGTCCAATCCCTTGACCTTGTTGAGCTACTAAGAGCTCTAGTATATCCGTCATGCGAGTTAAAACTACTCCCATTTGATCATTTCCTTCCCCAACTTGTGACTCGACGTTTTGATCAATATCAGACCCATTACCTACTCTTTGATTTTGGGGTTGTCTAGGTTGGCGTCCCTTTCGTTGTCCTCTAGTTTCCATATTCACAGTTAATCTATACGCATATGCATAAATCTCACATTAAATTATAATTGAACTATGCACTGTGAGAACCCTGAAAATATACATATAAATATCAGTGCATATTTCATTTGCATTTTAATTCTTTAATAAATTTTAGCACTAAGTCCAATTGTTTTTAAATAAGTACGTAGAAATAAACGTTATGTGCAAAATAAAAGAATTGTGCTAAACTACTAAACTTCTTAGTTTTGTTACATTAACTTCATATTTCAATGGTAAACTATTTCATTGATCCAATAATTAATTTTTTTGAATTCTAGTATTGTAATTAATTGTTTTGAAATAAAAGGGTAAAGATAATTTCTATGTAATAAATAATATAATTGTGCCAATATTGAATTATTCGGTTTTGCTGTACTAAATTAATATTTCTTGAGTTGGATTAATTCTATTACTTTAAAATAAATTCTTTGATTTCCGATAACTAGTTTTAATCGTTAATAATGTTAAATGTTAATAGGAATTTCCGCGTTAAGATAAAAATCAATGAATTTTAGATAAATATGATATTCCTATACTAAACATACTTAAGGCCTGAAAATTCGATAAATTTTGTGTAGGATAACTTTAATTCTTGAGAATAAATAATTGGAGATGCGGATAATTAAGTTAATCGCTAAATAATGTTAGGAACCTTAATATTTAAGTTTAATCGATATTTATTCGATAAAAATGGTTAAGTATATTGGGGGGGTTATTAGGCGTTCAAATCACCCTTGAGGATAAATTTGAGAAATTAAGTTGAGATTAGGAAACCAAGTGAAAAGACTAAAAGACCCTTACAATTCCATGCGAAACCAAACGACCCTTATGACAAATTCCCATCACCGCAACTTCGACCAATTGCATTTTAACCAATTCGATACGCAACCTTTCGTAAACCGCGGCACCACAAAACCACTTGATCAAATTCACACTACATCTCACAACCATTTCAGCCGACTCTTTCTCTGCACAAACCAAAGTCGAAATCAATTTCACTCCAAATACCACTCTACTCTTTCATTCTTGATTCACAACAAAACCTCATTTCTTCCCTGCCTTGACCGAGAGCACCGAGAGAGGGAGAGAGCTGCCGGAAACTTCTTGGATTCAGCCGTGAGTTGGAGCAAAGCCAGGGAAGGGAATCTGCCGGAAGCTTCACCAATTCTACCTACATCCACAACCCTTTTCAGCCGCAACTCCAAACCAGAATCACCATCTGCACTTGGCCGAGAGCTAGGAAGGAAATTTCTGGAATTTCGTGTGAAAGATTGGTTGCTAGCTGAGGTAATTTCTGGTCTAAAATAGGTTGATTATTAGTTGATCAAGCTATATCAGAGATTACATGTTTAGATTATACAATCGGATGCTGAAATCAAAACCTTAGGAAAATTTCTGTTTTGAGAAATTGTTGCTACCGAGACTTGAGGTGTTATTGCAGCTCCAATTTTGTTTTGTGTGATAATCTGAACACCCAAATGTCTTTAGCTGAGTAAGAACTGGAAGATTAAGACCATGTATGATGAATTGGGCATTCGAATGAAGTGTTAAAGCAGAGATAAATTTCTGGGTTAGTTTGGGGTAAGAAAATGTTGCCGTGAGCTTGAGCAGAAAATGTAAGTTTAACTTGCCTAAATGTGACCCTCTGAATTGATCCCTGTGCTTAATTAGTCAATAACTAATTAGTTAAGCTGTGCATGTAGCAATGAGATGGTCTAAACCAGAAAAATAAAAAGGAAAATTTGAAAGTGGTTCATGCATGATCACCGAGGCTCATGGGAGAATTTCTGGATTTTTGGGAAATTTGTAGTTGTTAATTGAATTCAATTTTTGAGTTAAAAATGTTAACTAGTTAGCTAAGTGTTTGCATGTTAAATTTGGGGTACCTAACACCATGTTTTAACCGAGGGAAAATTTGATCTAAGACATACAAGTTGCTGGAAAATTTTTGAAAGTCGCAAGGTGGAGCTGGAAATTTCAATTAGCTTCTGGAATTTTTCCTTGGAAGAAAAATGGTTCAGAAATGTATAAAAAAAAATGTGTGCCTAAGCCATGTAGGTGGTTTAGCTATGAAACAATGGTTGTATTGGAAGTTTGGACCAAAAGGTTGGAACGAAAATGCTGAAAATTGTGTTAGTAGCCGAGAGACTTGGATTGGAAATGTTAACTCGTTTCTGGAATTTTTCTTAGAGTATAGTGGTTTTGAATTACATGAGAAATATGTATTTAAGCGTTATTTGACTTGGTAGATGCTGGTATGAATGTCATACTTAGAGGAATGGATGGTTTGAATAAAAGTTTTATGGTTTTAAAAGAGAAAAGGAGTTTTTCACAATTGGAAAATGAGATTCCAGATTTTCGGATTTCACTAACCAGTCTCAGGAAAATGCTTATATCTTGGTGTAGAAAAATCCGATTGAGGTGCCGTCAGTGGCATTTGAAACTAGAGTCATGGGCCTTTGTTCTGTAGAAACTTTATATTTTTCCTCCATGTGTACGGCTGTACGTGACTCCTCAAAGTAGGCTGTCTTGACTTAATGTCCTGTTTCTTCAGGAAAATGAATTTTGACTTGAATCAAATGTTGGGCCTATCTGTGATTTGAATTTCTGAGTTTCAAGTGAAGCTTACATGCTAAAATTTTCTGGTATGTGAATGGCATTGAGCCTAGTAAAATGCTATGGTGGTAATCTGAATTTCTCGAGTTATTTAAGCGTTAAATTAGCCGTGACTTTACTCCTTGTTTCTAGTTGAAATTTCTGGTTGAAATTCTGGTTTGAAAGTGATTGGTTGCTATCAAGAGCTAATGATTGATGAAGCCTTGGTCATTCATTTTATTTTTATCAGAAATGCATTTGTTGAAATCTAGGGCTAATGATTGACGAAACCCTAGTAATTTGCTATGTGATTTTTTTGCCATATTTTGATCCATATTATGATTTCGAAACGGAATCGGAGCTGTGGGAGTCGTTTCTACCTTGCGAACTCGAGTAGCTGTGATCAAATTAAGCAAAAATATTTTTCAGCTAGTATTATATTATAAAACTCCATAACTAGTGTTTTGCCTAAAACTTTCCAACTCGATAATTTCCTTTAGCTCAAACTAGCCTTGATAGCTATAGCAAATAAGTTCTATAGCTTTTGGAAACTCTAAATCTTATGATTAATTCTTTTTTTTTCTTTCTTTAAGCTTTGCACTTGGATAGTTAACTACAGGAAAAAGTTCCAAAATATGAGCTTTACTAATTTTAGTGAAAAGCTTGGGAGACTTGCTCGGCAAGAAACCCTATTTTTTAGAAAAATAGTTTTTAAGGATAATTTTTGCAAAAGCTGTAACTTTAGAGAAATGTTCAAAGTAACTTTCTAACATTGTTGTTAAGAGATTTATCGACTTATTTCAAGAAAATAATACTAGTTACCCTTTTGTAAGGATAAGTATCTTAAGGAAAACTATAATAAACATTTCTTCTAAGTTTGTCAAGTTTCAACCTAAGGAGATTCCTAATCTTTCTAAAGGTAGTAAACTAGTAGTATATTAAGTATACCTCAGCTTGTATAAGCTTAGAAACTGAATACAAACTTATAGTTTCAATATGTGGTATTTAGGATTTTGCGAGGACGCGGAATTCGATTCTCAACTTGATATCTGAACTCCACTCTTGGTGAGTGTCCCTGCTTGTTTTATGTTATGTGGTTAAGCGCTTTATTAACTTGCTATATTATAACTGTGAAGTGGTTTTGACCCATCGAAGTGAGCAATGTGTACTTTATCACACTAGCCTTTCGAGTGGTGACTTGCGTAAAACATTTTTTTTAGTGAATCCAAGTGCTAGACGTAAAGTCGTTGGGTGAATCCCTCGACGAGTCAATAATAATAAATCAAGTGCTAGACGTAACGTCGTTGGGTGAATCCCTCGACGAGTCAATAATAATAAATCAAGTGCTAGACGTAAAGTCGTTGGGTGAATCCCTCGACGAGTCAATAATAATGAATCAAGTGCTAGACGTAAAGTCGTTGGGTGAATCCCTCGACGAGTCTATAATAATAAATCAAGTGCTAGACGTAAAGTCGTTGGGTGAATCCCTCGACGAGTCTATAATAATAATGTAAGTTCAGGACGTAACGTCGTTGGGTGAATCCCTCGACCAGTCTAAGGTACACTTGGGTATTATCGCCTTCCTATTTGTTTACTTCAGTCGAATCAATACGTGTTAATTGTTTTAATTGATTGCATGTTTTTGGGGCACCACTGAGCTTTAGCTCACCCCACGTTTATTGTTTTCCTTAACAGGTTCTGGAAACTGAAAGCTGGATGCTTACTTAAGTTTTCCTTTTGGATTGTATTTGAATACTATAACTTATTCTGTGGGCTGTAATGTGTTATTTGAGATAATGCACTTTTCTTTTGGGTTGCCACTTGAAGCTGGAAAATGGGTAAACCCTAATTCGATTACTTGGCATGTAAATTTGTAATAGAGATTTATGTATTTATCTACCCGGATTGGTACGACTTTATATTTTGGTACGTAGCACGTGGGACGTTTAAGAGCCTCGACTGGCTAATTTATCTCTGCTATCTCTGAAGTTAAGTTGGATGTAAGGATGATCTTATTCGGGAAGATTTGTTTTATCACAGATTAAGTTCTCCTTTGAAAGGATTTGGGTTAGAATGCTTGCGTGAGTCCTGGCGAGAGCTGGGCAGACGGCCCGCCAACCCTTTGGTTCGCCTTAGGGGGAAGTGGGGTCGCCACATGCACACATACCAATAACAACTTTTTAAAAAAAGGAAATCACTTACACAAATAACATTATCACTATGCAAGTAAACACAAACTAGAGTTCATTAAATCATAACACAAGTTTTAGTCAAGTAAAATTCATACCAAGTCAAAGTCAATAAATAAAGTAAACAAGTGATTATCAAAAGTACATTCATCTCCAAGGTACAACTCTTAAATCTACTCCCATCGTCCCACCACAAAAGATCATAAGTAGTGTTTCACTAGATTAATTAGAACTAGATGATTCCTGTTCCCTAACATGTTCAACTTCAATCCCAACATAAGGATCTTTTGGGTTACGATCTTCTCCGCATCCCACTCTTAATTATTGTACTGTCATAGCCAAACAATTATTGGTTTCCTATAACTATTCACGTAAAATATCGATTCATTCTTATTCCCCACAAATGGAGATCTCAAGTTCTTAAGATTGCCCTCAACTCTCAAGTAGTTGGGTACAAGAATCCAAAACAAGGTAATTCACAACTTGAGCCGGCCGGTCCCAAGAGTAAATCACCACATTCGTGATTCCTACCCAACATACATATCAAATTTCCTCCAAAGATCAAGATAAAGGTTTTACAACCTATCACATTTATGATTCACAGCTTACATTTTTAGAAGGGCACTTAAGCCTGTACTTAATCACATAGTAAGGACCATAACACCACTTGACTCAATCTTGCCTCGTGTAGAGACCACGTGAAGTGGCACTGATTTTTGCCCCTACAAATAGTCATTTATGTGAGAACCCTGAAAAAAAAAATGGATATATAAATTAGTGCATATTTCATTTGCATTTCTTTTATTGTTCAATAACTTCTAGCATTACTTTTAATTGTTCACAATTAAATGTGTAAAAATAGGTTTATGTGAAAAATAATATACCTTTCCAAAGTTATGAAACTACTTGGATTTATTTGACTAAATTAATATCTTTAGGGTTGGATTAAATTTTCGCCTTAAAATAAAATGTTAGATTTTTATTACAAGGTCAAACTTGATTTTAATAAGAAACTAATAAAGTAAGAATGTTGGGAACCTTAATATTAAGTTGTAACCTATAAAAATTCGATAAAAATGGTTTAGGTATATTAGGATATGATTAGACGTTCAAATCACTTTTGGGGACAATTTTTGGAGCTAAGCTAGGACCAAGGACTTAAGTGGCTAATTGGAGAAGTAGTGAAAAGTCTAAATTACCCTCACAGCTTCACAACATCACCCACGGCCATGTCCATTTTCTGCAAAGCCAAACGACTCCTTGGACACCATGATCATCCGCCACTCCAGCTAACCAATCGGCAACTTCTCCACTGCAATACACAAGCTAATCCAGCACTCCAGCCTTCCACCAAGCCGCCCCATACCACCAATCCAAATCCATCACCAACTCCACAAGTAAACCAACTCTTACACTCAATCAGCTCCAAAACCACGGCACTCCTTCATTTCATCTCCACTCCACATATCAGGCCACACTCCACCATTACATTGTTATCATCGACCGAGAGTGAGGGAGAGGTCGAGCTGCTCCATAAAGCCGTGAGTGAGGAAGGAAGCTGAGAGTTGCGATTTCATTTCTGGTTCTGTCCGCAAGCATCGAAGAGGGAGGAGAGGAGGAGGAGCCGTGTGCAGACTTTCCTCTGCACTTCCCAAGCTCAGCCGGTAGTTATCCAGCTTCCACCATCACCAGCTGCACCCACTACAACCCAACCAGAACCAACTTACCCGCGCTTGAGGAGAAGAGCCGAGAGAAAGGGTTAGACTTCAGCGTTCTGTCAAGTGAGTGAGCACCTAGTGAGGTAAATTTCTGGACTATAAAATGGATAACCAGTGGAATAAAAGCAAGCTCTGGACTTGCATGTGAGGACTTTAAGTTCGGATGATGTAATTAGCTAGATGATGAATTGATATTAAGCTACCAGAATCTGGTTTGGAAGAGTAAATGATTCTGCCGGGTGCTAAGCATGTAAATTTTGGGATGATCAGAGGTTGAATTTGTGTTTAATCACCTGAAAACAAAATGATAAAGTCATGCATGTATTGTGGTACAATCGGATGATGAATTCAAGTTATTAGAAAAATTTCTGTTTTGATTAAATGTCCCTGCCGAGGAGCTGAGTTGGAATTGCAGCTCTAATGTGTTTTCAGGAAATGATTCAAGCATGCGCTGGTGATTAACTAATCGAATCTCGGATGATTATTATGATTAGGGTCATGCATGAATTTAATTAGCCTGGATTACTTTGGAAATAAAAATGAAATAGAACTTTTCACATGCAAACTCATCCGAGTGTAGTCTTACCTAGTTCTGGATTTATGAATGTGTTTTGCTGTTGCCGAGCTGATTTTCTGGTCTGGATGTTAGCTAATTAACTCAGCAATTGTGCATGTGAGACTTTAAGGGCAATAAAAGGCTTTAACTGAAGAGATATCGGATGATGAACTAAGGAGCTTAGAAAAATTCTGTTTGGTTGGGGAATGATTCTGCCGAGAGAATGGTTTGGAAATGCAACTGAAATTCTGTTTTAACCAAAGAAAATCCTGTTTTAGAACCATTGTTATTGCCGGAAATTTTGAGAAAAAGCCGTGAGATTTAAACCTGGAAATTTTTGGGGGTTTGTAAGCATGGTTTAATTTCAACTCCTGATCTGGAAATGTGCATTGTTTTGCTAAGAGATTGCATGAGGAAGCTGAGAGTTTTAAAGCATGTTTCAACCCAGAAAAACAAGATGAAAACAGGACGTCTCTTCATGCATGTTCATCCGTGGCTGATGGATAAAAGTTCTGAATTTTCTGGATGCTTTTAATTATGGAATGAATCTGATTTTTGAAATGGAAAATTTTAATAGCCAGCTAAGTGTTTGATTGCTGAAATTGAGCCCCTAACACCATGTTTAAACTAAGGAAAGCTTGGATTTTTGTAAACCTTTAGCTGCTGGAAATTTTGTTGATATCCGAGTGGTATCAACCAGAATTTCAGTTGTCTTTGGAAATTGTAATCAGTTTCTGGAATTTTATTTTATTTCCCTTGAATCATAATGGGTCAAAACTGCATGCGAGATGCAAATTTTAAGAGATACAAGTTGGGTAGCAATGTGATATTTAATATATGGGATGGTCTAACCAAAGATATGTGCATACCAATGCTGGAAATTTTCCTTGTGATTGCCAAAGTTTGAGTACGAATTTCAAACTTAAATTGTGAAGTTATTCCTTGAAGCTTAATGATTGGAAACACATGGAAAATGTTGATGTAATGTCTGTGACCCGATCCTATTGTGATATTGGAAGTGAATTGTTGAAATTTATTTTTTCCTTGAGAAAACAATGTGTTAGAATTGCTGACAGTGGGCTCTATGAATTCCCACCTTTGAACTATTGGTCAATCTATTGGAAAACTGTTGATAGTGGGCTCTATGAATTCCCACTTGAATAGATGACTAAATTGCTGAAGTTGATTAGAAATCTATGCTACCATTTTTGTAAAACGGTGAGTTGATATAAGTACTGATGACCATGTGCTAAGTATCGACGAAGCCTTGGCAAATTTTCCTGCTTGTGCTTAGACATAATTTATCGGAACTCATGGCTAATGATTGGCAAAGCCCTAGTAATATTACTATTTAAAATTCCGACTGTACAATATGATAAAATGTGATTTTTGGATTGGAATCGAGAACGTGAGAAGTCGTACCGACCTTATGAACCAAGCAAGCACTTGAACAAGTAAATGGAAAGACTATTTTTCTCTAAAGTCTTGAATGGTACTGATTTAACACCGTACTACCAAACACTGTATCTACTATTTTGCCCGAAAAACTTAGACAACATAATTTTTACTCCTAGAGTTAGACTAGCCTTATTAACTTGGGAAAAATGATTCTCCCAGACTCAAAACCTAAATTCTTGTTGCAAATCCCTTCATTCTTTATAAATCGTTTAAGGCTAGTCGGAACTAAGGAAAATTTAAAAGGTGAAACTCGATCACTTTAGTTTTAAACATAGAAACCTGCTCGGAAAGAAAAACCTTATTTTAGCAACATTTTTCAATAGACCTTACCCAAAAGCCTTAGCAAAGATTTTTGTAGGCACAACCACTCCAATGAATTTTTTTCCAAGGTATACTTTTAGCCTTGATATTAAATACCTTGCCGACTCATTTTAAGAAAATAATAATAGTATTTTCTTCGAGGAAAAGTATTCCAGGAATACTATAAGAAATATTGTACGGTTCTCATAAGCTCGATTCCAAGTAAAATATTTTGAGAAAAAGTAAACTAGCAACATGCTAGAAAACTCTACATGTGCAAGCCAAAAGTTCCAATAGAAAACTTATGGCTTAAATTCTGATATTCTAGGATTGTACGAGGACGCGGAACTCGATTCTCAATCCAATATCTGAACTTCACTCGTGGTGAGTGTCCCTGCTTGTTCTATGTTATGTGGTTAAGCGCTTTATCAATTCGCTATGTGATAATTGTCAAAATACAATAAATGATTTTGATCCATCGAAGTGAGCAGTGTGTACTTTATCGCACTAGCCATTCGAGTAGTGATGTGTGTGAAATATTTTCTATGAATCTAAATGTAGTTACGTTGTTGGGTGAATCCCTCGACGCATGAATCTGACTACTATGAATCTAAATGTAGTTACGTTGTTGGGTGAATCCCTCGACGCATGAATCAAACTACAATTACGTCGTTGGGTGAATCCCTCGACAAATTTATTACGGGTATA